CAGGGTTTCCAAGTGGAATATGAGTGGCTGTTCCTGCAACCTTCGGGTGGCATCGTTGTGGCACTGCAGGAGGCCCAGGATGGACATGTCGTCTGAGGAATGGGAGGGGGAGTTGAAATGGTTCGCGACTGGGAGGTGCAGTTGTTTAGTGCGAACCGAGCGTAGGCCTCCTGCAGTGCTACAATGATGCCACCCAAAGGTTGCAGGAACAGCAACTCATATTCCGCTTGGGAACCCTGCAGCCCAATGGTATCAATGTGGACTTCACAAGCTTCAAAATCACCCCTCCCCCTACTGCATCCCAGCTCAGCTCGTCCCCGCCTCCCTAACCTGTCCTTCCTCCCACCTATCCTCTCCTCCCACCTCAAGCCACACCCCCATCTCCTACCTACCAACCTCATCCCGCCCCCTTGACCTGTCCATCCTCCCTGGACTGACCTATCTCCTCCCTAACTCCCCACCTACACTCACCTTTACTGGCTCCATCCCCGCCCCTTTGGCCTGTCTGTCTCCGCTCCACCTATCTTCTCCTCTATCCATCTTCTATCCGCCTCCCCCTCTCTCCCTATTTATTTCAGAACCTCCTTCCCCTCCCCCATTTCTGAAGAAGGGTCTAGGCCCGAAACGTCAGCCTTCCTGCTCCTCTGATGCTGCTTGGCCTGCTGTGTTCATCCAGCTCTACACCTTGTTGTCTCTGAATTTTGCTATGCTTGAATAGCCTCTCAATTTTCGCTATGTCAAGCTTATTTGTGGAAAGCTGCTCAGATCATGTGCTGAAGGGCTGTCAGTAGCTGATTCATCAAGAGAAAAAAGGACACCTCTGATTGCTCTGTATTTCTAGAAACAAAAATTCAATAAAAGCACATCATTTCTTTTTGAGATGTTCCCATTGAACCTCATCACCCACAGTAAGCAAATTGTCATCTTAATTCGAGAAAAGCTAATATTCTGGATCCTGACCAAATGTACAGTCTTCTTTATATTGCATTGTCATAACTGAGTATTGTTACCATCAACTTAGCAGCCTAGACTGCTCTTCTATCTGAAATAGCAAAGTAAGAAAATCTTTGAAGGAGCCAATAGTTGGTTTCTATGTCCTAGCCTAACAAATGTAAGAACAGATTAGGCCACCCTGCCTGCTTTACAGATTATTAATCATACTAAATAATACCACAACACCATTTAGCTGCCTTTATTCCATGTGCCTAGACATCCAAATCAATGATAGTGGTGAGAAAATCAGCCAGCACACACACTTCTGATTATAATTCAGTGATCTCTGCTGGATAGTGAAAGTGGGTCAGTATTGTTTCCATTGCCTTTCAGTAATTTAGTTTGGACTTTCTCCAATTTACCTTAGAGGAAATGTTGGAATGTTGGATCCAGGCACATTTACTTCAGCTCTTTCAGCCCAAGCATTTACTTAATCCATAGAGAACAAAAACCATCTCTGCACTTGCTCCAAAAATACTCCTTGACTGAACTTTTAAAAGTGTGAGTACTGATACCAACATGCAAGTACCATCAGCAGTTGTATTTATGAGACTGTCTGTTCAATGTTATCAGAACTGAGTGTTATGATGGCTTGAGAAGTCAGATCCATTCTTCCAGCACTTATAAGATACCTAATGAGTGCATTAAGCTTGTGAGACCTTGAGAAACCTGGCTGGATTTTAAAATGGACATTCTTCTGTTTCACTCCTTGCACTGACTCCCAATCTTAACATTCCTTCCTTGGAGTTCCCAGTCCCGTCATTGTCCTAACACATCTGTATAATACTCTCTGTCCACTATCGTGAAGTAAAGCACTTTTTACCCCAAACCTTTTAAACTTCTGTCTTTAGTGTGTGTGCTTTTGTCCTTCATTTAGGGTTTCTGAAGAATAGATTATGATGGTTTCATGCTTTCCTTTTCAATTCCATTGTGTCTGGGTTGTAAAGCTTTTTGACCTGCTCATTTTAAGAGTACATCTTCCTCACTGGATTTTATACTGCTGTTTGACACTGTTAAATGCTTTAATTCAGTTTCACTTTGGTGATGAGTCTTTCTTGTTCAAAATCACTGATCACAAATCTCCTCACTATTTATTATAAAAGTTCTTTCACTTTAGGTTTTTGGATACCTGTGTAATGTAAATAAATTGTAGTCTCATAAAGGATGTGTCGTGTCTTCTAGGTCCCTCTCACTTTTCAGGGAGTGACCAAGAATGTTGATGGTGAGATTCCATAGATGTAAATCTGTGTTTATTGTATATTACACACCCATGTGGTTCTGACTAAAGTACTAGTTGTGTTTATTTGTCACTTCATGAAGATTAGCATAGCATCTAAATCCAGATAGACTTTATACATGAATGAATCAAAATATGTTTCATCAAAGGTACTGCCACGTTACATAAATGTAATTTATATACAATTTCAAAAGTGAAGAGGAGAAAATATTTCAAATACTACAATAAGGTTTATTGGTTTAAAGTAGTGCGGGAGCACAGATGAAACCACACCTCTGTCTCATTGTGAAGCAACACAAAACTTTACATACCAAATGTACAAGACGGAAGAAACCATTCGCACTGCCCTGCTTGTCTTTTTGAATACTTAATTGAACCATAGATTTCATCGTACCATTTGTCCCAATGTAATGGAGCCAGCTGCTTTAGCAAGACATCCAACTGGTTTCATTCCTCAGTTTCTTTTTCTTCCATTATGTTGCAGTTTTCTCTACTTTCAAATGTTTATGCAGTTCACTTTTGATAGTTACACTCAACTGGTTTCTTCCACCCTGTTAAGTAGTGCATTCCAGATCATCATAACTTGCTGCATTAAAAAAAAACTCATCTCACCTTTGCTGCCCTTGCCAATTTCCTCAAGCCTGTGACCTTCAGTTACCATTCCCTTCCCCTTATTTACTCTATTCAAAGAATAACTGTATTAAGTCTTCCCTTACCCTGTTCTCTCTAAGGAAATCAACACCAACTTCTTTAGTCTGTCTGTGAACTGAGTTCCCTCATCTCTAATAATATTCTGGTCAATTTTCTCTGCATCTTTGATATCCTTCCAAAACTGTGGTGGCTGAATTTGGCCACAACCTCTAGATAGGGTCTTAACAGTGATTTATGAAGGCTTACCAAATCTTCCTAGTTTTTGTGTTCTGTGTACTTCTACTCATAAAACCAAAGATTCCATACACCATTTTTAACAACCATCTCAACATGTACTGCCACCTTCAAAGATATCTTCACTTAAACCCCAGGTGTCTCTGTTCCTCCACCTGCTATAAAATTTGTTTAAATTGCCTCTGCTTCAATTCTCTGAATCGAATTTCATCCCATTTTGGTCCATTTCACCAGCTTGTCTGTGTGCTCCTGAAGTCAGCTACTCATTTTGCTGTTTACCACATTTTCAAATTTTCTGTCATCTACCAACTTTGAAGTGATGACCAGCTTATTGTATATCAAAATGCAGTGGGGAATCAGCTCTGTTCTGAAGAGCAACTGTTCACAATATTCTCTGCTTTCTGTCCCTTAGCCAATTTCATATCCTTGCTGCCACTGTGCTACCTTTAGTGTAATGGGCTTCGATTTGGCAAACAATTGTTCTCAATTTTTATAAGCAGATACAAATATTGTAGACAAGTTTAGGGTGATATAATCTGTAGCTGCTGTGTTGAATGTTTCTCACAGTGAATATAGTCTGAGATGAATGCTTCACCAAAATTTCAGTGGCAAAGGTGTGTGTCATTATTTATAGCACTTGTATTTTGACACAAAGCCAAATGAAACATTATGAAGGTCAAACTATATTTGAATTATGAGGAGTATTTAAACAAGTATGAAGTGTATGATTCATGGCTGTTACAAATCACCCCTTCTCAAATTAACTTGGGTTTAAAATGATAAAAGTACTGTGAATACAGAGAAGCTGCTTCCTTTCATGGGGGAATCAACAGTGATTTGTTTTGGGAATTTTTTTTTGTTTATTGTCTACAAATGATCTAGAGCCACAAGTCACAAATACGATGGTTAAACCTCTAGAACCTCTAAAAACTTCTAGAACAAGAGATCATAGTTTTAGGATAAGGGGGAGCAGATTTAAAACACCAATGAAGATAAATAATTTCTTTCAAAGGGTTGTGAATTTGTGGAATTCAGTACTCCACAGTGTGGTGGATGCTGGGATTTTGAGTAAATTTAAGGAGGAGATAGATTTTTAATTAGTAATAGTTGGAGCATCATGAAGAACAGGCAGGAAAGTGGAGTTGAGTTTGGGATGAGATCAGCTATGATCATATCAAATGGAGCAGGTTCAAGGGGCTGAACTGCCTACTCCTGCTGTTGTTGTTATGTTCTTAAATCTAGCAGATAATACAAAGTTAATGAACTAGTAGAAACCAAGCTGAATGCAATAACCTATTCGAGAAATTGGGCTAACAAGTGCCAGATTAAATTAATTGGTGGGATGTGAAAAGGGCTGCATGGGGACAAAAGAATCCAGGGAATCTTATTTATTTAGAAGGAAAGTAACATGCATGAAAAGTGAAAGTGATTTCTGTGTTTGCTTGGAAAAATGAAATTATTGCAATAATGCTGAAATGATGAAGTAGTCTTGCGATTTTTTAAATCTTTGCAATTGTGCTTGGAATGTTATGTGTGGGTCTGTCACTGCAGTACATAAAGACTATTGCAGAGATTGAAATATTATGAAAAATAGAATCCAGAATGATTTGAGGAGCCAGAAGGATTGTATTGTGTGAATTGGCCATATTCTCAGTGGAAGATTTAGGATTACAAAGGCTGTAGATAAACCCAGAGTATGTTCCATCTTGTTCAGAATTGGAGAACCAGAGGAAGAGTCTACATTGAAAGGGGTAGATATAGAACTAATTTTTAAAAATACTTCAGTGAGTGAGTGAGTGATCAATCTGTGCATTCTGTTCCAAGGGAGATCAAAGCAGGAAGAATAACTAGATTTTGTTTTGGAAAGTAATATTTTGGGAATGTAAGCAGTCTGAGCTATAACAACTGTTCTGCAGGTGTCTATTGACCTATAATTTCCAATGTTTGCCACCACTAGGGTTCCTAATCATGTGCCTTTGTCTTAATGATAGATTGAGTACTCAGGTCAATGACTCCATTGTTACTGTATGCATTAGGATAATAAAAGACAAAAAAGGTGGATTTTGGGTCCTTTAAGTCCATAAATTCTGATGTTCCCTAACTCAAAGGGAGTTATCCCATTCTAGAGTGGGATTGAGAAGAATCTGTTCACATAAAGGTTGGTAGAAACCCGGAATATTCTATCACCCCTGCCAAAAGACTGAGTGCTGGAATAAACTAAATTTTCAAGACTCCTCTCACGGTAAGATTGTTCAGGTAAAGGAAATGTTAAGGAAAATCACATTCTGTTATCTGTGTTGACTACTCCAGGGCACTGTGGCAGCAGATAACAGAATGTGATTTTCCTTAACAAATGTGCACTGTTCAATTTTAAAGGTTAAATTATTAGAACAGGCTGTATAGGTTGGATGTGAGAGCTTGGAATATTAAATAGTGGTGTAATTGAGCTGACTATTTCATATCTGTTTCGGGAATCTGGAAAAACAGACCATATAAATAAAGTGGAAATTGGAACTTGGTTATTCAAAGGTGATGTCAGGAAGCATTTTTTTCATGCAGAGGGGGTGCAAATCTGCAACTTCCACCTTCCTTATCCCCTTCCATCTCAAAGAAAGCCATTGAAGCCGGAGATTCAGTCTCAGGTTGACAGCCTTTTGTTGCGCAGGATGTTAAGGTTGAGAAGATCTAAGATTGGTAAGTGGAGTTATACCAGTCAGTTGTGGTCTGATTCAGTAGTTGGGGCTGAATGGGCTTCTCCCATACTTACATTGGTTCTGCTGTTAGCAAAATGGTTCAAGTGGAAGGAGGAGTAATTTGGAGAATGAAGATTCCCGTCTATGTCCGGTGCTGCTTCTCGCTAAATTCCAGAGGCTTGGGAACGATAAGCTGTCACCTTTTGCGGGGAGTGGGAAATAGATATGGATCACAATGCACTAAAAGTGCTTGTGTTGGTTCGAAAAGCTTTGCAAGCCTCCATGCAGATGACCCTCGAGCAGCGTAAGCTTTGCAAGCACCACATTTCTACGCGATTCCCTCTTAGCCCTTTGTTTTAGAGATCAGTTGATAATAGGCATTACAATGTTTGCTTTGATATGTATATGATACTGTTCTCTGTTTACTTACAATTTTCCAGCCTTGCTTATTACTAAATGTTAATTAATAATGCATCTTTCTTTCCTTGACAACTCGATGCATTAGGGTGCCATTAGCCTTCCAAATGAAAGTTGGCATTATTGTGCCTAATGTCCAAAGCTTTTGTAATTTGCCGCCATTCTTCAACAGCTAACAAAATGACTAATGTGAAGTCTTAGGATGTATAATTATCCATAACTTTGAGAATATCTTCCAGTATTGAAGGTCCCAAATCTACCTTAAATGAAAACATGGAGTCCACCGGAGACTCATAAACCGTAGTCTCAGTTGGGCACTGTTGTTCATTTAAATCTTCAGTTTGTTGCTGATTCTCATTGGCTTTCTGAACATCAGGTAGTTCTTCCAGCGAGCCCCCTGATGGGTTGTGGTGGAGGGTGGTTGAGTCAGCAACTGGTTGATTTCTTGTAGTCTTGGTAGTTGCTGTCATGGGATCGACTGACGCATTATGAACCAGATTCTGAGACTCTTTCAGGTGTAGACGAGGGGGTTTTGGGGGGCCCCCGCCCTCTAGGTCTTTTGATGTACTCAAGCTTGACAGGAGATCGTGCTGACCCTGCAGGAAAGACATGTCGCCAAATGTGTCACTCTCTCCACTCTTGCCAATGTGTGATCTGTGGCAAAAATCCCCAAGTGGAGGGCTAATCATGTCTGCTGACAGGACGTCCCGCAGTTTCATCTTCTTGCTCTTTCCTGCAGTCCCAGTTTTGAAGTGGATGGATGTTCTGATAGACATTTTCTGATCACCCCACAACTTTCCTACTGTAGGTTTGGAAGGTTTAATTACAGCAAAAAGTGTTTTGAAAACTTGGTGGCCAACTTGGCTCCTGGTGGCACGTACCTGTTGAGACAAAAAGAGAATTCTTAAAACTCCTTAATGCTCTTACAAACTCACTCCAGTTGCCAGTCCTGAATCTATAACATTGTTCTACATACCACTAAATCATTTGGCTGAAGTAAGTCAATTGTACAGGAGAACTGCAAGTTTCTCTCTCTCTTTGATCTTTGCTGCTGCATTAAACTGAGTGAGATCAAAGGCTGTTTTGTGGCATCAAATCAAACTGTTCATTTGTCCATGCAGCCAAAGTTTATACTGTAAGACTGATAAAGGCACTCTGTATCTACACAGAGAATAACAAAGTCTCAAGAGTGAGATAAAGGCAACAATTTTACCAAAGGTCAGATGGTTTCTATATGCCACACAGCACAGAAGGAGATCATTTGGTCCGTTGTGCCTGTGCCAATTCCTTAATAGAGCTGTCCAGTTATTGTCATTCATTTTTTCTTTTCCCATAGCTTTGTAAATTTTGCTGTTCAGTAACTATCCAATTCACTTTTCAGGGTAACTATTGAATCTTTCAGGCACGGTATTCCAAATCATCACCAACTGACCGTCTTAAAATTGGCAAAAGAGCCAAATGCAACACAAACACCTTAAATCTGTTTCATCAAATTGCTGGTCCATCTGTTTCTCCTTGCTTACTCTATGAAATGATTCATGACTTTGAACACCTGTATCAAATTTTCTCTCCACCTTTCCTGCTTAATGGAAGACAACTCCAACTTCTACAGTCTCTCCATGTATCTGATGGTATTCTAGGAAATTTCTTCTACACCGTCTCTAAAACCTCAAAGTCCAGAACCGAAAAAGGATGCATATTTAGCTGCCAACTCAGTCTGTCTAATCAGCACCTTTCTGTTGTGCTGTCTAAATTATTGCTTCCTTCCTAAATTGGTTTTCTTGCTGTTCAGTCCTGATGAGTGCAAGATGAAATACTTGCTTGCATGATGTCTCTTTTTAGAAACATTCAATTTCTGTGCTACCAAGAATCTTCTCCATTCCAAAGAGCATCTATTTCCACTTAATTTCACCAGCCTCAGCCTGCCTTAATCCGTTACTGAAATTTTCATTTGTGCTTTTGTCAATTCCAGCTGAGACAATTCTGATCTCTTTCTGGCCAGTCTTTCATCTTCCATTCTCCATAGATGTCAGCTGACTCAAACCCACAATGCTCTGTCTAAACCCACATAGTTTCCATTCATCCATCACACTTCTCATTTCCTACATAGACTGCCGAACCCTGTACCTCCAATTTTAATTTCTCACCCTCGTTTTCAGATCCCTGCATTGCCTCACTTTTCCCCATCTCTGTAACTTCTTGTTCCAAGACAGAATCAAACTCTGACCCCTTACACATTTCCATGGCTATTTGCCCTAACACTTTCTGCCTTACCTTCTAAAATGGCCTCCTTTTGCCAATATATTTTATCTGTCTAATTACTCTTTTGAAAAGTGCATTTGGACATTTTTCCTTGTGTTAAAAGAGGAATAGAAATGCAGGTAGTTGTCATTTACAGACTGTAGGATCCTGCTGTTCAAAAATTGACTCTTGCACCTCACAAATACATCATTGCTTGTGCAGCATTTTGGCATGTCTTCAGGATGTCAGAAATGTTTTGTTGATGCAGACTTCTTGCTTGCACTCTGGACCCAGCGTGGAGGTTCAGATGGCGTGTACTCAAGTTCAAATAATTGCTTTTTAATTCCTGAGAATAAATTTTAATGTTTGTAGTATATATTCTGTAAGGCATTTGCACTGCTTTCATTGTGTTTGGGTTTATGTGCAATTCTGCTCCCAGTTGTGACTTAGGATGGTCAGGTTGTTACATATTCTCAGTATCTAATAATTTATGAATATCAGTGGTGATAATGTTCCAAATTTTCAATTTAGAGCTGGTATGTACAAAATTCAAGAGCACTATTTGGATGAATTTTGCAGAAGTCCAAGAACAGGTAGAACAATTTAAAACTTGAGAATGCTGAGAATCTGAAACGAGAGCAGAAAGTAAGCTAAAGGACATTTAACACGTTAATGAAGGCTCTCATCTCATCTGTTAACCCAGCTCCTCTTTTAAATGCAGTATGATCTGCAAATTTCTTGCATTTTCTTCAGTTGGCCTTGATCATGGACAAATATTTGTTTCAGGTAACTGAACATGTTTGCATGTGGCTGATGTTAATGGATATTCTGCCCCTCAGAGTCTTTGCTCTTTTTTAATCACTTTTTTTACGGTATGTTTATTGAATATCGCCGAGATATTGGCAATCAGACAGCCGATGCTCTCAGGACGTGTCCTGGCTTGTATTAGTTCAGTGTGTGGTTGTTTTGGATGGATTGTCCCTGGGATTATATTGCTTAAGAACAACAGAGGGGCAGGAAGTGGTGCTCAGACATCAGTGTGGGGTGTAATGTGTGACTCATCCTGAATGACTTGTACTTACTGGCAGCCTAGTACTTTCAGACATTGCTGATAACTTTTACACAGCTCACCAAGACGTGGGAGTCAGCCTGTGGAATTTCGGATTTCAGACAAGGCGATGACAACATAGAACTACATAATGTAAAGCAGAGAAATAGGCTACTTGGCTAAATGCGTACATGCTGGTTTTTATTCTCCAGACAAGCCTTTTCTCACCATTCTTTACCTCACCTTCTCAATAAAACCTTCTGATCCTTTCTCCCTCAAATGTTTACTATCTTCCCCTTTAATGTATCAACCAGATAAACATTCAAGATCAGTAGCACCAGCTGAGCTACCACGTGTGCTGACCCAGCCTAGAATGATATTCAGGTTCTGATACCATTGCTGTTTGCCAGCAGCTTCCAGTGTTTCCTTTGCCAGTTTCTGTGCAAATGAGAATGACTAAATTTGATCACACAATGGCTGCAAATTTTGAATATTGATTATAAGGCCTCTTATGATGTCATATATCATTTGGGCTGATTTCAATGTAATTGATTGCAATTTAAATTATTACAAATCACCCCAGCCCTCCCCAGCAGGTGCCTGAGATAGAAGATGACTTGCAACTCTGAAATCGATAAAGACTGGGCTGAGCAAACTAAACCTATTTTGACATGTTTGACCTTGTCCCTCCTTCAACATAATACTGGACACATCAAAACTGCAATAACACTGTTTCTCAGGTAATAAAATATTACCCCCCTCCCCCATGCATTGGTAGAACGTCATTCATACTAAAGTACTAAGATTGAAAAAAAAATTCAAACTTTCAAATGCCAATATCTCCTTCAGACTATGTAGAATATTTCCAACAATTAAAAAAAACACAAATTGCCACACTAGCCGACAAACAAATGTCAATAAATCTGGAACTGCTGACTTTACATGCTCAGCTGATCATGGTACTTAGTACTTACAAAGGAGCAGATGCTGAAGCGGTGAAGCTGCACTGAAGCTAGTGCTGACCTCTCTGATTGAAGCTGTGCAGCACCGGAGCTTTACTTGCTATTCAGCTATTTGGGGATCATCGTCATCCATCTCAAATAGTCATGGGATCAGAGGAAAGCCAAACTGTTCCTCTGATCCACTGTTCAAAACACAAATGACGGGAGGTAGGTACAAATCGGTGGGTGCTCCGTTTGAAGTGGCTCTGTATCTGGGATCTATTGGACAAGGACAGCTGTGTTTTTTTTCTTAAATACTTTCCACTTTCACCCACTCTATTCTCTGCAGAAAGCTGTTGTTAGTTCGCTGCTAAGCTTCTACCTATGTTAATATTTGAGAGACACTGTGGCCAACCCTAACTTCGTTCATAGTCTCCTTTCCTGCGGCAAATTCCTGACTTCAGCGAAGCACTCGCCATATCAATCCATTTGAGACTCAATTCTGTGGGGAGTTGTAGTCACATTGTTCCAGCCTCCACTCAGTTCACATGCAGTGGGGCTTCTAAGCAGTGCTTACTTCTGGAATCTTTTAGTAACTTGTCTTTACAACACAGCAGGTTCTGGCATCTGACATATTATGTATTGTGTGCTATATTGGGGTGAATAGTGGTATGGGCAAAATGTGCTTGAAGTAGTTCCCGTTTACCTATAGAAAGTTCAATGTCTGGTTACCATTCCAGAAATAAAACATAAGAGCCTTAATACCCACAGTCCTCCAAATACCACCCACAGGCTTTAAATGCACAGGTACTGATGTAACATTCACAAGTGCCCAATGATGAAACTGACCACACTTCCAAGAAAGGAGCACTGAAGAGTCAATAGATATCAGATGTTCTCTCCTACTGTATCCAGGGAGGCCTGTAATTTGAGAAAAAACTAAACATGTGGCCTAGAAGAGTTTCACGTTATTTTGGGTCTAAGCAGATCATCTAATCAAAATAATGTACACTCCTCGATCATTTGTATCCATTTATCAAACTGTCTGTCCATAAAACTGGCCACATGCAGCTCCTGTCTCCAATCACACTTGTTCAGCGAAAGATCTCTGAAAGCAGTGACCAGATTATCGGATGCAGCAGGAACCAGTCATTTCTCTGCTGTTTCTTTTGCATTTTTTCAACATTGTTTAAAAATACCTTCGCCGAGACCTCATTTATGTTTTCTTTTCCCAAGTGGATTTTTGTAGAAAAGTATGAATTGGAAAAAGAACTCAAAGTTGAAGGTTCTTGTAGTTCATGTAGTGTCTGATGTGCATGAATGGTAATCAAATAAGTTGAAATTCCCGTTTTCAAGTACAGCAATACCAGGGATCATCCTATTGAACCTTCTCTAAACTGCATCCAATGAAATAACATCTTTTCTTAAATGGTGGTGAGGCTCAAAGGGCCGAATGGCATACTCCACCTATTTTCTATGTTTCTAAATAAGGAGACCAAAGCTGCTGTTAGTTCTCCAGATGTGGCCTCACCAGCATCTTGTACAATTGCAGTAAGACTTCCCTACTCTTATAGTTCAAACCCCTTAAAATAAGGGCCAACATTCTATTAGCCTTCCTGATTACCTATTGCACCTGTGTGCTAGCTGTCTGCGTTTCATGTACAGGTTCCCCCCAGTCCCTTTGTATTTCAACTTTCTGCAATTTTCCTCCATTTAAATAATACAGTCTACTTTGGTTCCTCCTTCAAAATGAACAACTTCACATTTTACCACATTATACTCAACTGCCAACTTTTTGTCCACTTACCTAATTTATTGATCTCTCTCTGTCAACTATTTGTATTTCCCTTGCAAAATGCCTTTCCACCTATTTTTGTGTCATCTGCAAATTTGGCTGTAGTACATTGACTTCTTTCCTCCAAGTCATTAATATATATCGTAAACAGTTGCAAGCCCAGCACTGATATCTGGCTCTTAACTCCAATAATATCAATTACTTTAGGGCCCTCCTTCCCTTGACTTTATTAAAACAAAATGTAGCCTATCATCTATGCTTCTGTCACGTTCAGACTCAACTATTCGGAGGGCAACCATTGTCTACTTTACATAAAGCTGTGCTGATCCAATGCTCTCCTATCTCTGCCATAAGCCACCTCAGCCACTATCGCTGTGTTTTATGACCTCCACATAATGCATGTGTATATTTACAAAACAGTGCAATTATTGTGCATTGTACAACAACATTGTGAAAAGAGATGTAGAGCAAGAGACTGTACGCTTGCATAGCTGCTACGTTATCCAAAGCAACCTTACCATGTTGTGTCACTCATTGCTTCCCAAAAAAGACGAGTGAGATGGAAACTGAAGAATTAGAAGTGGAGAGACTGAGAAAGGCAGCACAGTTGAGTCAATGTATGTATACAATGTAATTACTAGAATACATCCACATTTATACTGCGAACTGCCTATATAGATGTGTCACACTGTAAGTGCAACCTTAACAAATTAGAGAACCGCAGCACACCTTAGAAGGTGTAAATTACAAAATTATTCTCTTTTCTCAAGATGTGAGCAGCCCTGGCAGAAATTGAAACAGTGCTATTGGTTGGGTCAAATTATATATCCAAGTCAGAACCGTGTTTGCCTTGGAGGTGTTGGTGTTCCTATGACTTTGCTGATCCTGCTGCAGCTTCTACGTTGTAGTGGTCACAGAGGCAGAGTTATTGTTGAGGTAACCTTTGAGTTTCTGTGCAGCATCTTGCACACAGATTGTACCAAGATCTGGTATACATAGTGCACTGTGAGTGAAGGGAATAGATATCAATTATTGGAACTGTGGCTCAGTGGGTATCACACTTGGGAGTTTGTACTGTTTGGAGATGCCTTTCAGTCAAGCTATTAAGTCCAGTTTCCCTAAACTGGATGTATCAGACCCCATTGGCACCACTCCAAAGAGTGGAGTAGTGGCAGTAATAACTGATGCCCTGGCTAAAATTTATCCCCATACGCCATCAAAAAATTTGATTATCTGGTACTTACTGCATTGCTGTTTGTGGGAGTTGCTGCAAATAAATTTTTTACTTTGTTTCTTACATTATAACAGTAACTTCTACCCTTCGAAACACTGCATTGTCTATAAAGCACTTTCTGATGTCCTGAGGTTGTGAGATCTCCGACATAATTGCATCTCTGTTGAAGTCAGTTGCTCTGATACTCCTAAATGGAGTTGAGCTTTTTGAGTGTAGCTATCCTCCCAATACTGAGCATTGAGTTTCCATTTGTAGATATGAACATACATTCATGTGTGCTGTACCTGAGTTGTAGCACTAAGCTATTTTCTTGGTACTTCGTGTCCACGATGGTTTTCCATATATTTCAACTCCTAGGGTGAGGGGTCAGGTCCTGTGTCCACCTTAACCAGAATGGGAATTGAACCCACACCTACGTCATTATTTGTCATTATGCCAGCCGTCTAGCCAACTGAGCTTCCTACCAGCCCCGGATATGGAATTGGGAATTTAATAAAGATAGAATGCATCATTTGAAAGCTGGGGACTGAATTATCTCCTTGATCGTTTATTACCAGTCAGTGCCTGCAATCAATATATCTGGACAGATATGTATAATCTGTGAGGATTTTACCATGGTCTTGTCTTTCTAACAAAAGTGAGCCAAAATGTTAATCTGTTTCCATTTCACTCCTCTATTTAGTTCCAAGGGTATTATCTTTGGTGTACAACATGGATATCTCCTTGATGCCCCCCTCTCCTGTTTCTCATCATATTCCCTCCTTCCTCAATGACGTTATCTGAATTCATGACGTCCGATTTCACATGTATGTGATTCAGTTCTACCTCAGCACCAACACTACCACCACCACCTCCATCAACCCATTGCCTTCCCCTGGGTTTGTCATGCTATTTGTCTAACATCTTGTGCTGAATGGGCCACAATTTCCTTCAATCAAATACTTCTACCAATGAAACTCTCATCGGTACGTGTATTTCTTCAACTATTCCAGTGCCCTCATAGCCACCTTGCAACTTGTGAAAACTTGAGCCCATTCAAAACTTGGCCACTTATAAAAATTGGCAGCACAAAATTAGCCCATCAGCTGTGCTCAATGACCTACATTGGCTCTTGGCCTGGCGGTGCCTAGGTTTTAAAATTCTCATTCTTGTATTGAAATTCTTCCATGGTCTTGTCTTTTCCTACGTCTGCCTCTATTCCTCCAGACCTGGCCTCTCCTGTGCCCTCTAATCCATTGCCCCACCACTGGTAGCTATGTCTTCAGCCACATGGGCCCCAGCAAATTAAATTTACTCCCTAAGACTCTGTGTTACTCGTGCTTTCCATTACAACCCCCTGGAAATCATGCCTCTTAACCAGATTTTTAGTCATCCATTCTAATAGCTCCTTTTTAACTTGTAATAGCTCCTTTATGATGTGTTAAATGTGTTGTGTAATGCTTGTTGTGTTGACATTATCTCATATGCACAACATCTATTCGAGTAATTAGTCATCCTTGCAAATGTTGAATTGCACCATTAAACCATTAAATCATCATTGAATCATTAAATGGCCCTATGTTGTCAGTTGTCTGGCTTGGAAATTGAAAGCAGCATTGGGAGTTGGGATGAAGTTGATGTGTGGTGCTCCTAATTCTTTTTCTTATGGAAGTGCTCCCATCATTCCCACTGCCAGAACGTCACTCTAGTGCTACACAGAATGCTCTCAGGCACAACCGAAGTTTTATCGGACAAAATAATGCTGCTGATTGTTATCTCTGGTTTATATTTTGTGAAGTTTTAATCCACTTAGCATCAATTGAAAACTCAGTTATGTTGCAGGATTACGGTTGTTTTTTTTCAAACCGCTGTCCAGATACATGAGGTTGAGCAGTTCAGGTGGAAGTGAAGCTGTTTGACTTACTGGCTACAGAAAATTGACCTGAGCTAGCTCTGGGTATTGAAAAATCGGTCAGAAAAATCGGTCACTTGTACAATAATATCAGTGGATAAGCACTGAACTATGCCAACAAAATGCTAAGAGAGCAAATGGAAATATATTAAAATCTGTAAAATCACTAACCTGATTCCAGCGTTGATTCTGTGTTGTGTCTGTCAAGGTGAATGCTGCTGTTACGTGAGACTCGATGCTTCCAAATCACTGCTTTAGTGAACCAGGCATATTTGTTGTTCTAAGTCCCTGGCTCTCCTTTTTTCTGACTACAGCTACAACTCCAGTGCTTTTGCTTATAACCATGTGGTGAGGGGGTGTTACTTTGAATCGATGGGAATCACTGTCTAGTTTCTGAAGAAACATAAAGCAGGAAAACCAGTATTGTGAAAACCGGTTTTACACCTGAGTGTGTACCTGATCAGGAAGTTGCACAGAGACCTGTGAATCATATCTGATCCACCCAAAGCTGATTGGCGTAGCTCCAACAATGATTAACTTTTCGTACTGCTGCGGTCCAAATCATTACACTTCGCTGAGAAAAAATATGGTATTGTTTAGGAACGAAGGAATTTTCTGTGAAAGTAAAAACGCAATGATTAAAACATTGTCAATCCAATTAAGTTGATTCTCTCTATTTAACTCTTCACGCACTGGCAAATGGCAAATTTTACCAACTGGTTGTGAAGCCTTCTATTTTACTGACAGCATGTTTAACTCCATCCATTCAATCAAGCAGTGTTGAATCATTGAGCAGATTAGCCTGAGATCATATAGGTCAGTATGGGAGGTAAAGGTGCATGGGGTGTGTGAAAGCCTTAGAAAACCAGATGCCAGAGTACTAGGTTTCTACTACAGCATGGCCTGAGCGTTTGCAGCATTTCTGTTTAAAGATATCCATCGTTTGCAATACTTGACTTTTGAGGCAAATTGAGGGGCCGATTAAAAGTCAAACCTGGGATCACTACTCACAGCCATGTAGGTACCAGATAAAAGCAAAATATTACAGAGACTGGAAATCTGAAATAAATACAGAGAATGTTGGAGAAACTCAGCATGTCTGCCAGCATCTGTGGAGAGAGAAAGAGAGTTAATGTGTAGATACAAAGCCCAGACAGTGCCCCTAACCATGTAGATCCAACCCGAGACATTGCTACAGCAGTGTAGATACAAACTCCAGGCAGGAATAATAGCAATATAGATCCAAATATCCAAAGGGAATGCCCACGTTTGTAGACACAAACACAGACACTGCCCACAGATACAAACCCAGAAGCTCCCATGCAATGATGATATAATCGCTAGACACAGCCCACCCAGGGTAAATCCAAATCCCATGCAGTGCCCACAACAAGGCTGATACAAATCACAATCTTTGCTCTTCTCCTGCCCACAAGAGCTGATAATCAAACCCGCTACCATGCTGTGCTTGTGAATTCAGCTTCCTGCAAAGCTGAATGTGAAGGAATATTCAAACCACTTAGTGGCAATGTTTGAGAACCTCTGAAATGGGATAGCTGCTCAATCATTTTGGGTAACAGTGTCCAGGGTTAGACTTTAAGACTCGGTGTCCAAATTCAAACAGCATCTGACCTATTCCAACTAATGCAAATTTTGTTTGTTTTAAAACTCAGCAATTAACCCTTTAATTTTCTCCAAAAATTTCCTCATAGAAGTTCGTAGAATCTCTACAGTGTGGAAGCAGGCCATTCGGTCCATCAAATACACTGACCCTCTGAAGAGAATCCCACCCAGACCCACACCCAACTCTGTCTCTGCATTTCCCACCCTAGACACTGTGGGAAATTTGGCATAACCAGTCCACCTAACCTGGACATCTTTGGAGTGTGGGAAGAAGCAGAAGCATCCAGAGGAAACCCATGCAGATGCAAGGAGAATGTGCAAACTCTATTCAGACAGTCGCCTGTGGCTCGATTCGAACCTGGGTCCCTGGCGCTATGAGGCAACAGTGCTAACCACTGAGCCACTGTGCACTTTCCTGTGCAATATCTTACGGAAATCCCTCTCAGTTTAACTCGTACTTTTGCAGAAAATCCCAAAACGGTTCTAATCTGGTATGACTAAAGTGCAATCATTGTTGGACTACCTAATGTGGCAAAATATTGAGCAAGGTCCTGCTAATGAGTGAGTGCCCCAATTTACCTATTCTGCTGGTGTTGCTGAGGGGAAGTGTTAGCCAGGGCACCATGAGAACCTTGGACCATGCTGAAGATGCTGACTTCTGGGTTTCAACCATACAATAAGGGGAATACAGAGAAATTAATTCTATATCATTAAGCTAACCATAAGATACCTCATGGCACTAAATCCAGAGCCTCAGTCTTCCCATTACCCAGTGCTTCTTTATTTCCTGCCTCCCTTCGAAACGGCTTTATGCCAACTTGTACAGGTTCTACTATTATGAAAAGGAGTAAGGTCAACCAGGAGCCCTGTTAGGTGACTGTGCAGCAGCACTTCCAGCCTTGTTACTGGGTGTTATAGCTGCCATATTCCTTTTTTAATTTTGATTTTACTTCCTGCTTTGCCTCTTCTCGATGTGATTGACAATGGCACAACAGCAACAGGACTGGCCAGAATATCCACTCTTTCGGTCACAAGTTCTGTCCCTCCTGGCCTTACTGTTCTTCCACTTATAGATTCTGTGTCCAGGGGAGGATGAGAGCAGAAAAGAGGAAACCTGTGATTGGAGGAGCAACAGTAGCTCCACGGTGACTGCCAGAACTGTGCTTTATTTTCCCTCTCCCAGTGTTGTTTGCGTATTTTACTGTCTGCCAATTAGGGCTATGCAGGAGCCATATGTAAAACAGTATGTGCCAAGACAACCCATTTCTCATTTCTTGACCCATCATTGATGTTATGTGGGCTTTTTTTAGGGGCGTTTGAATTCATCTGCGCCTCTGCCCACCTTTGTATTTTGAACCCTGATTGGGATTTCTTTTTCAATCCACCCAAGTATGGTGATATGATGAGGGCTCTCAGGCCAGAGTGAAGATGTGTAGCACAATCGCAAAACTTACGAATGTTACCTCCCAACCTATGGAACAAGTTATGTACTTTGAACTGTCACCAGCAATCCTCAATGTTGTCAAGGAAAGATTTCTGAGCCAGGTTCAGGAGGATGTTAAGTGGTGAAAGGGATTGCAGGGTGATTGTTCTCTGCCAGCCTCCTGCCAGGGATGCGACATAGTTAGTCCTTATGGTGAGACAGAGTTATAGGCAACTACAACTGGTTTAAAGGGAAGGGGGCATTTGCACCCCTAGCCTTGGAGGGATGCATATTAATGAGGTAAACCAGAATCAAAACTTCAAAATCAACTTATTTTCTCCACTGGAAACAGCCTTCTGAGGTTCCTTTCTCCTGCCCCCTCCACTGTCTGTTCCATCAATATGTGCAAGGAACTCCTGGATTTCATTGTCACTAAGACTCAGAATCTGATCAGGTGCCTGTGCCACACCCCTCCCCCCTTTTAGCCAACACGGGGCCAATTTTCCTGTGGGATTTCTGCCACCTCCCAGACTTCGCTCCAAACTCACTTCTCTCTATTTCCTCTAATGTCTTCCTGCATGCCTTCTCTGAGCTCTCTGAGTCCAACAGATGCACCTTCTACTTCTCTGACCCAATTTCTCCTTCTGGTCCTGATGTTAATTCATGTTGTTAATGGTTCACTTTGTTGTCCTTCTCTTCTTTAAATCTACAGTCATCAACTGTCTCCTCAAAGAAAACAAACTCTCGATCCTACCATCCATAGAGATGGCTATTCCATCTCTAACCTCCCTTACCTCTCCAAAGGTCTTAAACACGTACTGAAATTGTGATAAGTCAAATTGCAGGAGATCTGCCACAAAACTGTATTAAGCAGAGCTTTGAGTTAGCCGAGATTTTTGCCTAGAGACGTACTCTACATCCTACAAACATACAAACAAGGAGTAAGAGTCGGCCATTCAGCGTTTCAATTTGCTCCTCCATTCAATAAGATTATGGCTTGCCTCATTTTAATCTCAACTCTACATTCTTGTGCACCCCGAGTAATTTTTCATCCCCATGGTAATCAAAAATCTATCTGCCTCCCTCATCAAAATATTTAAATATTCTGTATCCACTACTTATTGAAAAATGGAATTGTGAAGAGTCAGAACCATCTGAGGGGAAAAAGGTTTCATCATTTCTGTTTTCAAACGCCAGTCTCTTTTTTTCATAGAATAATGATCCCTTGTTCTCAATTTTCCCACAAGAGGAAACATCCTTTCAGTATCTACCTTGTCAAGTCCCTCAGGGTCCTGTATGTTTCAATCAAGTCATCTCAAATTCTTCTAAACTCCAGAGATACAGGCCCAGCCTGTCTAGCCTTTCCTCATAAGGCAGTCCTCTCATTCCAGGAATTTGTCTAGTAAATCCCAAACGAAAAGACAGTGATGCGGTAAATATGCGCAAAATGTCAGTTTTCAATTTATTCACACCTTACAATGATTTGACTGTGTACAGTTAAAGGTATTTTAAAAAATGCTGGGAGTTAGGTCTAGAAAAGGTCAGTAATCCTTTTCTGCCTCATGGGTTGTGTTCGGACTAGTGCGATACAGTCCTCCATGTCATCAGTGCAGTGCAGGGTAATCTGTTCTTTCACAGGAGAATATCGATACTCTCCATTTTTTGCCTCTAACCTGCCTTCCTTCTTTAAGATACTCCTTAAAACTCTTTGACCAAGCTTTTTGCCATCTAACCAACTATCTCCTTTTGTGGCTTGATGTCATATAAAGGATAAAGCCACCATCATCATAGAGTTGTACAGCACAGAAACAGACTCTTCGGCCCAACTCGTCCATGCCAACCCAGTATCCCAAACTAAACTAGTCCCATTTGACCTCGTTTGGCCCGTATCCTTCTAAGGCTTCATGTACCTGTCCAAATGACTCTTAAATGTTGTAACTGTTACCTGCATCTACCACATCCTCTGGCAGTTCATTCCACGTTTGAACCAATTTGTCCTCTTATTTGGTCCAGCTTAAACGATATAAGAAGCTAGCTGCACACACAGTAAATATTACTTAGATGGAACATTCTACTGGACTATTGGGCTGTTGTCTCAGAGGGAGATAGTTAGAGAGAGATGACTGATAGCAATTTAACCTGAGGGTCACCATGCCTCAGGCATGGGGAGAGGATGAGGAGGAGAGAATTTAATGATCTTTTATTGTTGATTGGATGCAGTGGCAACAGTGTGGGTTCAAATTTTCTTTCTTTATTCATTCGCGGAACGAGGGCGTCGCTGGCTATGCAGCATTTATTGCCCATCCCTAATTGCCCAGAGCGCAG